TAGTAGTAGTAGTAGTAGTAAGAAGCCCTTGCAACCTTGAAGCACTTTTGAAACCCTTTAAGCAAAACCCGAGCGACAAATCCTAAGATTAACAACAAAAGACAAAACAATTCTCTTAAGCCCTGCCAGGACCGCCTCTTCGAGTTCGTTGACGAGCTCACGAATCAGCCGGTTCCGGGATCCAAGGCCCGGAAATCAAAGGAGTGCTAAACGGTTTGAAGGGCCTCGGTCGGGCTTTATGAGGTGACTGTGCAGTCCCTACATCGAGCGCCTCTGGGGTCCTCTAGAGTTGGTTGGCGGTATTGCAGAATTGGCTCATTCCCACGCAACCGCCACCGCATCATCAGCATCAGCATCATCATCATCTTCATCATCATACCCGCCACCACCACACGTAGTGTCATCGGGGAAATCATGACCATTAGGACTTCGTTGTGGGTCGTGATGAGGAGGATCGCGAAGACGACTTTGTTGATAATGTTTCTGCTGGTGGCGGGGAAGACAAGACCGATCATGACGACGATGAAAACTAGGACGAAGCTGATAGTCAGGATCCTTTTGCCTGGCATTGATGTAGAGATGGCACTGGTGATGGTGGTGAGTCTGATGACGATAAGGGTTGTGCTGGGGATGATGGCACTGTCACGGTCAGTCGATGGCGACGAGCAGGGCCATGATGATGATTGCGCCGAGAGACCACAGGCTTTCTCGAGCCTCGTCGTAAGCTCTGAAAATCAAGCTTCAACCCTACCAAGCGAAATCCCAAACCAAATCCACGCATGCCAAACAAGGCCCAAAACCTCTCTTGCAACACCCTAGGCCATCAAGACCAAGCCCAAAAACCTCGTATGTTAAGCGCAGGCTCGAGCTGTTCAGTCTTCTGGTGGAGCTGCCGGGGGTATCGCTGCTCGACTGCAAAGTAGCGTCTTTTGACTTTATGTGCTTTGGGTTTCTAGGATTTTCGGCGCCGGGTTTAGGATTTTGGGGTTTGGGGTTTAGCGGTTTCGGGCGTTGCTATCCTCAAATTCAAATACACAGGATCCTCCGTATTCGAGGGTTTCGCCTGGTATACTTTTACTGGTACATACCTGCAAAAATCATTTAAACTACTACTCAGCATAGTGCCAAAGCCCTGCACCCTAAAATGAGGAGGCGTTGCGCGAGATCTCTCCAGAACTTCCCCATGCCCTGCCCATCGTTTCAAAACCTTCAATGCCTGAGGGTTTAAGGCTGGAGTTGGAACGAACCTCAGGTGCGAAGTTATCGTTTGAGCCAGAGTTTACGAGAAACAGGAATCCTAAGAGTGACGCTTCCGTAGAACAACCGCTGCATGCCCCACCAGCAAAACACAGGATTGAAAGATGGTACCACGGGAATCCGGCTGAAGTTTGCGCTGGTCTCCGAGTTTAGTGTAGGGTTTAGGACATGGAGTCCGGGGCCTAGGGCCTATGGTTGAGGGTTCAGAGGTTTAGTGCAATACCGGCCAGCAATTTAGCTCCAAGACTGTCAACCTTAAATCCGAAACACCGAGAACCTTGAACCTTGCCACTGTTTCGTAACCTGTATCCGGAGCCTGTCCCAAACTCTACAGTCGAAATACCATACTGGGCGAACAAAAGCCAAAACGATCGACACCTGGCAATCGAAAGCCTGAAACTAAGCCCAACACCAAAACCTGAAGTACATCCTTGATCCAAAGCCTCGAAGCCAGCGGTGAGACAAAGCTAAACTTAGGTTCCCGCCCTTGAAACCTTACACAGCAAGCCCTACGACCTAAACCCAAGCCTTCTTAGCTTAGTAAGTGCTGATTCTGAACCCCCAAACCATCCAAACCTAAATCCTAAACTCTACAGCTCCAAATCCCTTACACACAAAAGCAGAACCTTGTACGATACCTCGCGAGCCCTTAACCCCATTTCAGACTGGAGCCTTGGCAGGAGCAACTTGCAGCCGACCCCCGCCCCCCCCCCCCTTTCGACAACAAAGAAGCGACCGCCTCCGAGGTTTCGGAGAGCCAAGGCTACGGGCTCCTGGTCTCCGGCACAGTGCTGGCGGCCATGGGCCCCCTGGCGTTTAGACTTAGGCTTTGGAGTCTTTGGAGTTTAGAGTCTAGAGTGCAAGATTTGCAGTCTAGGGCTTAAGGCTTAGTTCGGCACGCATCAAGGTCTTTCGGGGTGGGACTGAGGGTTCTTACTTTGATGCCATTCGGTTCTGAAGTTTAGCAGCTAGGGCCTTGTTCTCTTTTGGAGAGTGGCTTGGAGGTTGCAAGGCATCAGGCCAGGGGTGATGGGATTCATTGGGACGTAGGGGTGGCCTGGAGGGCTGAACCCCAAAGCCTTGAAGCCTTAAGCCCCACACCCCAGGAGCAACGTAAGCTTAAATCCTAAAACAACTGGAGCCCCAAGGCTCCGACTCGGATTTCAATCGCGTGTCCGAGCTCACCCATGAGCCACTGGGACAAAGGGGCGGCCCAAGCGAAAGGGTGTTTGACGGAAAATGTCCGGGGACTGAAGAACCCAGAGAGCCCATGCTTGTTTTTTTGTGAGGATCATACCGCAAGCTATCGGGGGCTTCTGAATATGATGATATCTTATTTCAAAGGGCAAGTAGGCAGTAATGTGGAAGTCGACATGATGAGACCCCGGGTGTGGGGTTGTATCCTGTAGATGTAGCAGGGGAACCCTGCAGCGGAGTCTTGTTAATTGTTCGAGAGGGTGAGGCATGATCCGGTGTTATAGATCTGTTTTGTTGCTATGCGGATGTACATCACCATTTGTTCGGGCTTTTGCCCGGCTTCAGGATCGGAGGACTTCGTAAGTGGATTGGTTTTGGTGTTGCAAGTCCCCTATCACTGGTGCTCTTACTGGGACGAGCACGTTTTGTACCCATTGACTTAATTCAAACAATTGCATTGTAAACGCTTCGGCTTCTTATGATTCAACGCAATGCGACTCTGGAAGTTAAGCCTTTGTTCCCTTCGGAACGTGGGAGGCTTGGAAAGTAAGCGGTGCCAGAGATTCCTCATCACAAAGTCTCAGAACTCGGATTTTGAGCTTTTGGGGACTTGGGAGTTGGGTTGCATTCCTTTGATGTCGGAAGCACGGGTTCCAGGATGTTGGCCTCGAAGCTGTGCGGTCAGAACATAACGTTGCAATCATGGTCAGCCCTAGGCCCAAAACCTAAACCCAACGCCCTGAACCCCAAACCTTAAACCATGAAGGCAAAGGGCACTTTTCCTGAAGACAAGGCTGTTCCTGGGATGGCGCCGCATGTGCGAGCTGAGCGCCGCGGGTGGCAGCTGCCAGGACGACGAGGGCTTCCAGTGACTTGGATAGGAGGGGCAGCAGCGTTTTCTGTTCGGAATGTCAGTCTCTTGATTCTTATGATTATGACTAAAGCCTTCTCTGCACTTGTTGTATTGCCATGGTTTTCGCAGTCTTCAATGACCTTGATCTTGGCTCCTAAATGGGAGGATTGCGTCGGGCTTCTGCTTTACGAACACCCTGCTTTTGTCGATGGTTTGTGTTCTTATAGAAAATATTATTATCATTGTTTAGTACAGTAGTGGTAATATTCGTCGTCGTCGTCGTAGTAGTGGCAGTAGCAGTAGTGATGATGATGATACTTCGTCGGCTTCGTCGTCGGGGTCGGAAGTGAGTAGTGAGTAGTAAGCAGTACAAGGAGGAAGTATTGCGTGTTACGTAGTACTTAGTACGTACGTAGTACTTAGTACGTAGTACGTTGAAAGTAGTACAGTAGGGTAGTAGGCAGCAAGTCGCAAGCAGAAGATAGCCAGTAAGAAGTGGCAGTCGTTGACAAGAGAGACCGCCCTACTTCCTGGATCCTACCTTTGGGCCTTAGCGTTTGTGTCGTCTTTTGGGCCTCTAGAAACCTCAACACCCAGACCGTGAGCCATAAACAACAAGACAGAAGTCCTAGACTGCACACTGGCATTCCAAGCCTGTCCAAAAGAAACCCCACCAACGTTGAAACCCTAGGAGCAGTGGACCCAAGCCTTGTGTCATAAAGCTTCAATCCTTGAAGCCCCAGCCGCTTCAAAGCCGGAAGATTCAGGTGTGGCGGTGGCCGGTACCCGTGCCTCCCTCATTGGAAATTTGGGGAGGACGGACCCAACCTGCCCTCGACGGTGTTGTGGCAGGGATGTCGTGGGGTTCGGTAGTATTGTGCTTATTGTTGGGTCAAGGCTTGTACTTTGGGTAAGGGTTCAGGTTTTACGAACTAACGAGTGTTCAGGGAGGTTTGATTAGGGTCCTGGATTGTTGCAGGACTTGTGGAGATCTTAATGCAACATTGCCTTGAGGTTCCAATTTACCTTCTGCTTTGTTGGGTTTAGGACGAAAGTAATTGATTTTGCGAGTATATGTTAAGCGCAGACTTTCTGGGCACAGGGGAAGATATGGTGAACAGTCGATGTGGTGTTGGGATGTGTCGGGCCATTTGGTTGTGTGAAGCAGTGCGCATGTCAGGATTTGGTAGTGTTTCTGGGGTGTAGAGAACCTTGCTATTTGTTGATTTGCGTTTCCTGTTGGAGACATCTCTACAGATCGAAGCTCGGATAAAAGTTGAAAGCACGCTCAAACCCTGCACTCTGCCGAATCAACAGGACCTCACCCGAATCGACGGCCGTGGCGCCGCACCGGATGGGGATGTTGATGCGCTGCTGGGCATGCCTCCAGGCTGCAATGGAGCTCCGGGCTTGTTTAGGGTTTAGGGGCCAGCGTAAGGTTGCCGGGTTTATCCTAAGCCTAAGCCCTAAACACCCACGAGGATGCTAAGTCTATGTCCAGAAGTCTGAATCCGGAACAGTCGTTTGGGAAGAGTCTTCCACCGAGGTTGATGGCTGTCTTGGCTTTGGAGGGCACCAGCCGCGAGCCGGACTGTCGGGAGAGATCACATTCAGGCCTCAGAGATCTTTAGAGCTAGTCTACAGGAAATAGCAGAAAGCCCTTCTTCATACAAGGTTTGGGGCAGCGAGTTTGGAGTGCTTGTAGGGCTTTTAGGGTGAGGTTTTGGAATTTTGGGTTTAGGGCGTGCTGCGTGTGTATTTGGGCTCCCCTTTTTCGGATACTACAAGTAAAACCCGCCTTCACATTGCATCTGACGGCTCGGAGTGCGGGTCTTGGGCATGTTGTGGGCCTCAATTGGGTAGAACAAAAAATGCTTCTGTTCTGGACTTCTGACAGCTCAGTATTACTCGAGTGGTTTAATACCTCAGGAGCTACGTCCTTTTTAGGCACCTGAGTTTCAGGTTACAGCTGCGAGACGTCGAAGTTGAAGGTGAGTCCCGAACTCATGGACAAACCCACGCAAAATAGAGGACTGGCTGGATGAAGTTGGCCAGTGGGCCTATGCCACGTGCAAGCAGCTCGCCAATGTAGAGGATAATGATTATGGTTGGGGATTGCGGGTTCGAAGTTTTAACTTCAGGACTATTGCTTGCTTGCAGGGTCGGGGGATGTAGCAAACATGGCTACAAAGGTTTCCTGATATTTGCAGTTGTGTATTGGTAATTTGGTTTTCATGCTGAACGAGCGTATAACCCATACGTGCATATACAATATTATGTATACATATTCGTTCATGTCTTTCTGAGTACAAAACAGACAGATCGACAGACAGATAGTTACCCTTGGGATAAACAAGCAGTTCCTCCGCGCGAGGCAATTCTACCTCAGCGCCACCGTGGCCTCCCCAACCGGCCGCCACCAAATCGTCAAGTTGGGCTCCTGCTGGGGTGGCTGGGGCAGCCAAGGCCCGAACTTGTTGGGGCTTGAACCGGTTTGCGGCTTGACAGCTTTTTGGCTTGGGGGATTGGGATTTAGGAGGCTCTGGGATTTTGGGGGTGGTGCTTGATCGGTGAGACTAGGAGCTGGGGGCACAGCCATGCTCAACAGACATGACTGAATCAACACGGCCGATTCGCAAGACAGCTCATGAGGAGTCCCCTTATTTCAGGGGTGGTGTCCCTTGTTTTCTGAACTAGGCCACCAACCGTTGAGGCCTGGGGTGGCCGACCAGTGGGGATGATTCGGGTTTTGGCAAGACTGTGCATGGTAAGATGCCTTGGCTGCTGTGGGAGCCCTATGAAAACGTTAACCGGTTTCTTATTCGCGGTCTGCATACGGACCTTACTTAGTATCTGCGGGATGGGAAACTTGACCAATTTCCTAGATCTTCGGGTTTCATGGCCTTGTCCGATGCTCCTGACCGGGTGAAGAGGAGCTGAGGTTTGTGAGGCCTCGGCGCATTACGGCTACTGGGAGTTTGCAGGGTTCACCACTCCGGGCCTTGGGGTAAGGGCGGCTACAGCCTTCGAGTCTTTGTGTAGGTTTTGAAGCCGCATTTCCCAGAGCAGTTCTGCGTGATGCCTTTGCAGGGCAGAACCCCAGCTATCACGCACCGGGTGTGTATCGCCTTTGTCGAGACTATATGCCTCTCAGCTGCATAGAAGGATGCGGTTTTTGACATCCCTAGATCGATATCCTGAAACCCTGCTGCAGGCCCCCTAGCATCAAATGTAAGCCCTATAACCTCAAATGCTGCCTTTCATTATGGAACTGTGAACCCAAAAGGCTCCATATACACTCTCGAAAGTACGGAACCTGTAAACTAGACACTTGATTCATATCCTTCATAAAACGACCCACAGAAACTCAACCCTAATTTTGAGGTACCCTCTGTGAGTTTAAGGGATTGGGGCTCACTTACACTTGTGTATAGCGGCGGGCTAGAAGATATGATAGGATTTAGCGCTGAAGGCTTGGGATTCTGCAACTGGATGGGGACCTATAGGTATTTTGCTTCGCAGGTTCTCATTAAAAACTCATGGAGTTTGTTTCAGCCATTGTGGTACTCGATTCGCATTTTCTGGTTCTGGTTTCCGTATAGGAGCCACTGTGGAACAGAAGGTGCGGTTTTCTCTCGGGGTATTTCAGAACCCAGGCAACTACACCCGGAGAGCGGAAACCTTCGAAGAGTTTCGAAGTGGAGCAAATTACAAGTGCGGGTTTTTGAATACCTAAACCAAACACATCCCGCAACCCTCTCAAGATTGATTGCTTGACAAGCATGGGCAAGCCTGGCGCCTCAGGCCCGAACCTGAGATGGGAACTTGTCGCTGCCAAGGTCGTGCAAAAAAGCGTCATTGAGGATGCATATTCCCATGCCCCAACACCACATTGTACAGTATCCAACTATCACCTTGCTAGCCCTAAACCCCACAATTGCCCTGAATCCTCAACCGCAGGCGCATCCTAAAGCTGACTGATTTCCACCCTTCACTCCGGCAGACTCCGGCATTGTCATTCTCCTCCGAGGGCCTCCCACGACGACCGCTACGGCTCATCCTCCTCCGAGGGCGATCGCTTTGAATCGACACTGGGGCAGTTCAGCTTTGTGCTTCGGGGTGTTGGACTCCGGGGCTGGAAGGGTTTAGGGCGATTTGGTGTTGTGCTTCAGGGTCTGGGCCTTTAGTCAGCCAGCTGGGGTCTCCTGGTTTAGGGGGCGCAGGGCTTCAGGCGGAGCCGCGGCCAATATTGATGCAACGCACACCGTATGATTAGCACGCCTGGTCCCAAAACCCGAAGTCCTAAACGCCTACGTCCAAAGCCACAAAACTGCAAACCGCTCGACCCTGAGACCAGAAACCCTCCTGAAGGAAATGGGAGACACTCATCGAGACCAGCTATAAGATGTTGGGGGCCACTCAGTGCCAGGCTTAGAGGATTCGTTTGGCGATCATGGAAGTTCAGAGATTTGGGCTTTAACTTTCAGGGCTCAGGGATTGCAGTTCCATGAGGCTGAACGGCTTACGGCTTGGTGTTTTTACTTGCACTTGCAAGCAACCCGCCGAGCCGACGCCCTGGAACCCCAAAGTTCACACCCGAAGCGTGCCACCAGGTGTCCTTCCACTGGATTGGTCCCGAACTGGGCGCAGGCAGTTTGTGTGTAAAGAAGGCTTTCGCGGTGTTTCATCAACTGTAAACAGGGCTGCATGGCACTTGAATGAGGGAAGCTCAGTAAGCGGCAAGAATATCACAGTGCACTCTCGAGAACCACACGAAGGAAGCCTGCCAGTCGAAACCCTGCGCCTTCAGCTTGCAAGCAACGATGTCCAGATAAATTACCACTGTGGCAGAGGGTGGCAAGCAATATAACGGGGATGGTGGTTTGGGTTGACAATCCCATGGTGGTAGTTTACATGGACCCTGCCGTAGCCGCCGGGCCCGCGGCAAAATGGAGCCTACAAACATGCAACTCAGGAGACCTACCACGTCTGAAGCCTGCGAGCACAAGCCTTCAGTTCAAGTCTTCAAGCCCCAGCACTAGAACCCTCGAAGCCCCAAGCCCCAAAAACCCCAGCACCCTGAACGATACGACCGCAAAGCCAATGAGTTGGTGTCCAAGGTACCCTATAAGTAAGCCCACTCCGACCTTACCGACCCTAAGCCCCTCAAGCCATGACCCGTAAACCCGCGCAAAACAGTAAAAGCTTTTGAAAAACAACATGAACCCTAAAGTTATTCAATGAACCCGAGGCCCGAAGCCCTTGTTTCAGAATAATTGAGGAAGAAGGCGGAAGGAAACGCAGAAAACCCAAACCCCATGACCGAAAACATAAACCCTGAGCACCCCATCAATGAAACGGTAACCTAGACAGATAGATACGTAGATAGATAGACAGATACAGTAGACAGACAGACTGAGAGACTGAGAGACAAAGAGATAGATGGATGGATGGATGGATGGATGGATGGATTAGCAGATAGATAGACCATACATGTTAATGCATTTACTTTTATGGCGCGCGCACACACACAGAGAGACACAGAGACACACGCACACGCGCACGCACACAGACACACAGAGAGAGACGGTCTAACACAAGCAGCCCTCTTGCACGAATGCAGAAGTCAGTAAGCCCTGCGCCGGCAGGTCTTCGAAGAGGGCCAGCGACTCCGAGCTCAGAAGCCGGGACGGCACTCAGGGGGCCTTGTTAATTTCTCGGGCTTTTTTCTGGTTCTTGCCGACAGGATCGATAAGTTCGTAAGGTTGTTCGAGGGCTCTTGCAGTACGGGGGACTCCCTGTGGGTCCTTGCTCCGAGCTGTTTGGGCTCTTATTAGGGGCTTCGTGGGTTGAGGCTTTTTTCGAGCTTCTATGCGTTGAGATGGCACGGCGCGGCTTCTCAGTTCTTCAACGGCTGCGTTCCGGCTCTTAGGTTTTGGGGATTTCAGGGCTTCAACATCGTTGAGGTCTCTTGCTTAAGAGATCCGGGGTTCTAGTTTTGGGGCTCTTCGGTATGCTTTTGGCTTGTGTTGGGCTCTTAGCAGGCTTGGGGCTCTAGGATTGTTGTGCACCTTTAAATCAAGGGTAGGCCATTGGAATTTTGTGTCTTACATGAACACCTTACTTCGGAATTTATTCATGACAAAAGAGGCTCAAGCCCTTGAGCAAGCCATAACCTTCAGTTCTAAAGTAGCCATACGGTGCCCTAAAGAGGATCGTTCAAGACACTGCGCAGCAACGTGGCCCGTAAACGAGAAAGAAAGGGGACCAGGACACCCCATACCTTGAAACAAGGACTGGTTTCAGCGGCAGCGGCACCCCGGGTGCTGAGTTTGGTGCAGAGGCCGTTGCACCATGTTGTTTCCAGGTATGGGAGTTTCGGTGTTCAGGTATCGCGACGGGCTCAACAGCCAAGGGCTTATTTATTTGCAAGACAAGGTTGCAGCCTGACCATACCCGCATCCTCATAGACTTGTTGAACACCTCCTCCTTCAAATCCCGGAATCTAAGGTTGCAAGCATGACCCCTGACATGGACCCGTGGGCTTTTCCAGGCATAAACGCAGGCCCCATGGTAACCCTTATTGTAGCCCTTTTGGGGGGATTCTAGGGAGCTTTACGGGAGGGCCCATTACAACCTTAGACGAAAGGAGACCTCTGTAGACCAAGCAGCCCTTGAGGCAAGCAGGACGATCTGGCGAGTGGTGGTAGACTTCCTGCTGTATCCATCGGAGGCCGACGGGGGTTGTTTAACGGCGAAGGACTCGGATCAGGGTTGGCTGGTTTGTAGTAGAGACGTCTGCATAGATGGCAAGCGTTTGTATAAAGGAGTCGCAGGGTGTTATAGGGTTTGGGGCGGTCCAGAAGATGACGTGGCTGCGCCGGAGGGCCTGCTCCATGCGGCGACACGAGAGTCGGCATCGCAGGAAGACAGCACCCCGGAGCAGACTCTGGAAGATGGTCAGGTATAGAAATGTGGCTGCGCATCGCGTCAAGGATCATTCTGTACTTCGACGTATATTGCTCAACTGAGGGCCGGGTTTAGGGTTTAGGGAGGCTTTCGCGATTTGGTTTCAGGCTTTGCGGTTCAGGGTTGGGCCTAGAGGTTTTTGAGGGTTCAGAGTGTGAGGATCAGCCTCTTATAGAGTGGGCCAGGCATGCAGTGCCCTCAACCCGAACCCCTAGAATCCGTAGAACTCACAGCAGCAGCAGCAGCAGCAGCAACTGCCAGTTTCTTTTTCTGGTGCACTGGCTTGGGCTGGGTGGCAGCTGCAGCAGCATTTACCGATTTTTTCCGGGGAGCGGGTGGGAGTGGTAGTGGTGGGGCCTGGGCCTAGTACAAGAAGGAAACACCCTTAAACCCTGAACAAAATCGGTCGCTGCTGCTTGTCGGTGCTGGCCTGACCCTCAACCCCGCAACCGCAGTGCCATCAGCAAAGCAGCTTTCTTTATTGGCACGCCTTCTGGCCTGGGCTGGGTGTGGCGGGGGTGTGTCACGGTTTGGACAGAAGGATTTCTCTTCAGCAGCATGCCTTCCCTTTATTCAATATCTTAAACAACGTGTCTGAGCAAAACCCACTGCGTGGCTGGTCGTGAAAAGACAGATTTCTGTGTGTTGTCGTCTCGAGATTTGGTTGCAGAGCTGGGGTCTGAGAGATTTATTCTGCAGCCTCAGACCTTAAAGCAGCACTTTCTGGGAAGTTGTGAGTCTCGGGTTTTGGAGGTTAGTTTCGGGGCGGAGTTTCGGAACATGGTCCGGGACAGTTTCGGAGTAGGACATGGAGAATCGGACTGAAACTGCCCGCATTGCCCCCTGAAACTGGCAGACCCGCGTGCCGAAACTGACTCCCTCTGCCGAAACTTGGCGCCGAAACTATCCCCGTCTGATCCAAACCCCTGGCAGCCGATCCGAAACTAGAACCCCGAAACTATGGGCACCCACCTTTCTTGCTTGAGTTGGAAAGCCATTACTCATGCGCCAACAACTTCAGAACCGGGCTGAAGAATCAACCCCCTGAACCCCCTATGGTTTAGGGGTTCAGGATTAAATAGCTTCCCAACTGAGCGTTACGACGCACTCCTGCCGTTTCGCGTTTTGCAGGACAAACCTTTGCTGCAGTCTCATATTTTCGGCCAGCCATGATACAGTCCACCCAGATTCCATCTGTTCTTGCACAGCATCGCGGGTCAATCATTATATCGTCAACCCAGACCCCATCCGTTGTGTATCCATGGGCCAACCATGATAGCAGCCGCTTAGGTCTGTTTCGAAGTCTTCTTTTTGGGGCTGTCCTCGTGCTTTTCAAGGATTTATGTTGGGATGGTTTTGAGAAAACGCAGTCTAACGTGAAAGGGTTTGCACTCCTGGCCAACATCGTTACTGCCTGTGCTTGATACTAGTTTCAGCTTTTCGCACACCAATCAATTCTAAAGCTAAAGTTCACTCGAACTCGAATCGCGAATCTGTAAACCCTAAACTAAACCCCAAACAGTTGTTAACCCGTAAGCACTTTGGCCTTATAGTCATTGATCCCTGAGCCCGAAACCATAATCCCTGACCCTGAAGAGATTCGCCCCGCAGGCGGGACCAGCAGCAGAGTTTCTTCACCCGGTGGCGCGGCACTTGGAAAAGAAGGTGCCAGGGGCTTTGTTTGTTCGAGAGGGTCTGCTGAATGGGGCTTTGGGAACTGGCTGGCTTGTTCAGGAGCGAACTTGGATTTCTGTAGAGGTGTTGGATTGTAAAGTGTAGGGGACTGATCGTTTTTTACGAAGCTTTTGGGTTCGATGAGCTGCAGTCAATAATGCGGATCAGAGGCTTCATTCGGTTGAGTTTATCAGTAATTAATGTTGAAGTCAAGTCAAGACCCATGTAGTTGCACAGTTGCTTCCTGCGTTAACGTGCACCAGCAAAGGACTCCCAATTTTGATGACCACCCCCATGTTGGCTTTAGCTTCGATGTTTTGGGGAAAGGTTTGGGTTCAGGTGCTTTGGGGCTGACACGGGTATTGAGCTTTGGTGTTTAGTGTTTAGTGCTTAGAGTCTGGAGTGTTGCAGTTCAGGGTTATAGGCTTTAGGATGTAGGCCACGGTTCTGGAGTTCAGGGTCGAGTTCGGTTTTGTCAGCTTAGTCTTTCGTGGTTAAGTGTCACGCAAGCGTTGAAGGTTCATTGTTTTCGTGCTGAAGCTTTAGAGCATCGGCACCGGGGACCAAAGCTGGTCGGGTGTTGGGCGTGCTGTAGACCTGGAATCTGGAGTTTGGCCGGGATGAGGAGCGTTCGAAGGTGATCTTAGAGGCCCGAACTTTACCTCGTGTCCTCGTGTTGCTTTGTACGCCGGATTTGGGTTCTGTACATCTGGAGCTAGCATGGGATCAGGTCTTTGAGTGGTCTCCCTTCGCGCAGGTTTCTTGGGGCCGTTTTGGACCTGGAGCTCGGCCCCAGGCCCTAAACCCGACACCCTAGTTAGATTCCTGCTTACGCTATAGAAGCTTTGTCTGAGTCTGCAGATCCTTGGAGTAACACTGTGATTCTTGTACTGTTTCTTTCGGGCTGACGAGCACTTCCATCATGAACCTCGCACTGAAGCCCGAAAATGCTAAAGCCGTAACTTAGACCGAAGCCTTAAGCTCTAAACTTAAAACCCCCTGACCCCTACTTCAAGCCCGGAGGGGACCGAAGAATACCGAACCCCATAAAGCGAAGCTGAAAGGAGACCGCGGGTCGCTGGGCATCCTCCTTGGACGTGGATGGTGCCTGCCTTGTGGAGACCATCCACCCAGGGTGGCAGGTGGGAGAGGGTCGGCAGGATTCCAAGGGCTGTATGAGGGTTTTCGGGCTTGTGGCAGTAAAGCACCAAAACCCCGCACCAACATAAGGATCTGATCTACGAGTCTATGAGGTATGAGGATCCTTGCAGTTGTTTAGGGAATGCTCCTGAAATGAAGGACCCCCTAGTACGCGGGTTTAGGGTTTTGGGATTTGCTGTTGTGAGGTTTTTGAGTTTGGGCCTTCGGGGCTTTGGAGTTTAGGGGTTTTGGGCTTTGCTCAGAGAATCCTATATCTAATGATGCCCCGATAACGAAAGGAAGATACTGCTTACTTCTGCGAGGGTTGAAGTTGAAGACTGTGCGGCTCTGCCGGTTTGAGGTTTTCGGCTCAGCAAGGCTTACACGTTTTGTTGTTGCGGGGTTGAAGTCTTTAGGTTGAAGGGTTTGGGAGTTTGGGTTCCCAATGAAGGACCCGAAAAAGTCCTTGGCCACCTAGCTCCACAACAATTCTTGCAAGAAGGACCTCTTATCCAAGCCGTTATCGGAGACTCACTTGATGTGTTCAGCCACGCACTCACAAGATCCCGCAATAATTCCAGTTAGTTAGGACCTTAGCGCGCCAAGCAGACAGACGTCCCAACCTCTCGATGATTTCCTTTTCTTGTGGGTCCTTAGCGGCATTGACCTGCCAGTGTAGACCCCCTGATTCCTCAACCTGCCTTGTTGAAGCGTTTTGATATCCAGAGTTTATGGGTCCTTTGGCTAAGTTCCCTTTCTTTCAGAGCTCCTGAATAGGCCCTGCTCCAGGTGAACATGTTCATGGCGGCGCCAACGTTCGCCAGCCTTGTTTGCCCATCTGCAGACCTGCCGGGACGGCGGCAGCAGGAGACACGGAACAGGGTGAAAGGGCTTCCGGCTTCAGGTATGCTGTGCGTGTTGCTGCTGCTGTTGTTGACTGCTTCTGTTGTTGTTGGTGGTGGTGGTGTTGTTGCTGCTGCTGCTGGTGTTGGTGTTGGTGTTGGTGTTGGTGTTGGTGTTGGTGTAGGTGTAGTTGTTGTTGTTGTTGTTGTTGTTGTTGTGGTTGTTGTTGTTGTTGTTGTTGTTGTTGTTGTTGTTGTTGTTGTGATAGCAGTGGTAGCCGTCGTAGTAGCAGCAGTAGGAGGAGGAGGAAGCGGACGAGCAGCAGCACTGCTGGTGCTAGTGCTAGTAAGCACTAATGCATCAAAATCGGAATAGCAAGTTTCCATTCAAACAAACTGCTGTTTTTAGAATAGTTTCAACACTTTTGCTGTCCATCCCTGCTGCTTGTCCTGCTGCTGCTGCTGCTGCCACTGCTGCTGCTGCCGCAGAACTACTACGGCGACGACGATGACGATGACCCGGTATTTCTGCACGAGGTAACCCAAGCGAAAGCCAGCCCAATACCGAACCCAGGCCTGACCGTGCGCCTGACCTCACCGGCCGGCCGATCGCGCATCGCCGCTTGGGTCTGCAGTTTGGGGGTTTGCACAGGGTCGTACGACGTCGAGGGTCTGCGTGAAGTCCAGCAGACTTTAGCATGCATGTCGGGGTGAGAGTGTGCTTGAGAGTGATTGTGAGGTTTCACCTGCCGTCATGGGGGGGGTGGAGTTGTGGAGGTCTTGCCGGCTTCCAGGGAAAAGATTGCACCTGTCCGCCTTGCTTGGTAAATCATGATTTTGGAGGCGTTTCATCGAGATATGCGTTCGTCCAGCTTTCCGCTAAGGGTGTCTTAGAGATTCCGAGACTTTTCACACACGTCGTCTCCACCCCCTTCAGCCATCAAGTTGAGAGTCCCAAACCTCGCATGTCTTGAGCTCGTTGCATTTCCCAGTTTTGCGAGGTTCTGTTTAACAGCGCAATTGGAACCCAGTGGGGGGATGCAATCTCAGGCTTTGTCCAAACCCTAGGCTTTAGACGGCTCTCCAGACTACCCTGCATGCTTTTGATCATGCTTTCCGAATTCTTGAGCAGCCTCCTTCATCTTGAAGGAAACAGTCAACCTCTCGCTTAGTTCGGACCCTACAGCAGCGAGCAAGCGGCTGTGTGTGTAGACTTTTCGTATCACGGTCATGATCTCCAGAAGCTCCTGTGTAAATAGGCAACTTCAGTGAATTGTGGAAAGCCAGAGATGACCTGTCAGGTTCTTCCCAGCAGCTCTACGCCCTGCTCTTAGCAGAAAGAAGACCAAAGTATTTAGTATCAAGATTTGGGAGTTTAGCCGATGGCTTGACTGCGCAGATGCAGAGGTCGCGCACGGATGTCGGATCCCGAAATCCCGGCAACAGTCTATGATAACTCCAAGGGCGTATGTTTCAAGTGCTTGCGGAGAGGAGCTTAAAGTCAATGAGACTGGCAAGGTTAACACCACCCGCCAGAGACACGAACACCACCACCCATATACACCCTGCTTGAGCAATGGATTCCGGCATCGTGGTTTTCACTACTGCTATTGTAAACCTATCGTTTTTCTCGCATGGTCCAGCGTCTGGACTGTATGATCATGAGGTTCAGAGGCTCACAAGATGGAGGTTGAGGGCGTTTTGGTTTCCCTGACCGGCTGTTTCGTGATGTCAGAGTGGGGGGTTGTTTGGGCCGGCTGACGAGCTTCTGGCCCTTGAGGACTCGTTGGCGGCAATTTTTGCTTCCATGAGTGCTTTGAAGTGAGTTAATGCCCCTAAACCCTAAACCCTAAACCCTAAACCCTAAACCCTAAAGATAAAGACTTCAGGCTCCTCTCCGACAAACCAAGTGCGTTCCGAGCCTGTGCAGCTCGACTCCTTGTGCCCATCCCGACACCCAGTACTGGAAGGGTCAACAGAACAACCGTTACAAGTTCCCAAGCAGGCCGGGAATAGAAGCCATCTGAAACGCTTGAATCCACAAATCTTGAGCTCAACTCGCTTTATCACACACTCATGGTCGAAACTCCCTGGACCGCCTTGGCCTGTGAGGCAAGAGGTCTGAATGATCAGCGAAAGTAAGCTGTTGTCCATGCTTACAGCCCTTGTGCTACCACATCGCCGATCATTGGATGCTGAGATATATGGCACTTCCCACGTGGAGGACCCGACTCCGTATACGTGCTGTACTTCGCCGTTCGTCCATACGAGCGCATCTCCTAAATCAGATCCTCAATGCTGCGTTTCATCCCCGCATCTGTCGGAATTTGGCGGGCCCTCTTTCAGCACCCTGAGCGCTTTGTTGTGCTTTTGGCACTTGAGCTGCTCAAGGGCCGTCGCCACAGTTAGCGTCTGCCAGAGCCCGTGCTCGATGATCTGCGTCATGTCGGACTTTGTTTACTGGATGTCATTGTGTTACTCCCGGCAGCCTCCCTCGTCCCGGCTGTGGTGGTGCCGACAGGTGTCTAGATCTAAAGCGGTAAGTCCATGCAGCGCTCGCTCAGACCGATCAGGCGAGTTTCAAAACACACACCCCTCACCGGCGTTGTTTGTGCTGCGGCCTTTCGCCTGTCTTTTGCTCCGCCACCTTCGTGCGACGTAAGTGCTTGGGGGTGTATGGGGCCACTATCACTAGCATTCTGTGCTGTCTCTGATGAGAGACTTTGCTCCGGAGTTGTTCTGCCTCGCACGCCATCGATGTTAAGGGCAAGTCTGCCGTGTTCAGTTGTTTCTGGATAATGAGTCTTAAGTGCCTTTTGCACGTTGCGGAGATCTCCCCGACGTCTCTCGCGCAGGTGACCCCTGAAGCCACAAGGCGCACTGCTCTTAAGAGGCAAAGCCAGGGTCACCGCGACTTCCAAGCAGCAGAACCTTCCTCCTCCGTGCTATCCTTGGAACGATCTGCGACCTCCGGACGATGAGCCACAGACTTCGCTTCTCTTGAGTCGGGTGGTCCCTTCGTCTCCGTCGTCCATATGTATATATATATATATATTAGTTGTTTATTTATATTTATTTATATTTATTTATATTTATTTATATTTATTTATATTTATATATGATAATTATATATATATATACACACATGTATGTGTGTATATATATAGAGGTTTAGGCCACAGCCGCAGCCGTTATTGACAGGATCCGCGCTTACGTCTCCGAAAAGAGTGTCGAACTGAGCAGAACAAAAGAATATCCAGAACAGAAGAATAACCCCCGAACGTCGCCGCAGAGTTATGCCATAACGTGCCCCGCAGCCTTATTCTATGTAAACTCTTCAGGGCAGATGCCAGACTTCAGCCCCGCAAGCCCACAATGCAAGGCTTGCTGAGCTGCAGGCGGAAGTGAAGACGCGATGCGGCGTTGAGCCGAGGGCACAGACTGTTGGGCGCTGGAATGTAGAATGCCCAAGCCAGAATTGAAACCCAGAGCCCTCAACAGGCTCATGCTGTGTTCGTTTCGGTGGTTTTCAGGAGTTCCAGCAAACTGGAAGATCCCTAGTAGGATGTGCGTCTGCGTCAGAAGTGTCCCATAAGGAAGTCTTAATTCCAAACATCCGTGTTTTGTTGTTCCGGGCGGTGGTCATAGTTTGGAGTGAAGGGTTTGGGATTCTGGGTTTAGGATTTAGGCGTTAGGGGATGAGTTACCAAGTAGAATCACAAGACACCCTGCCCGACACTCCCGTATGCAGCCGAAGCAGCCTGCGGTAGAGAGCCGTATGCATATGCCTTGAACTCCGCTACAAGTCGAAGAGGCAAGTCTCATCGCGTTGTGTTCAGTCGCATCGAACCAGCGTGCAAGAGGGGCTTCCGCTATGCCCGGTTTTGATGTGTTGTGATGCCGCAGAGGTGTGTTTGGAATGCGACTTTCGACGGTGTGAGGCGACTTAGGGCCAGCACCAAGTAAAACACATGTGTGATAACTGGACGTCGCGCGAGCACCGTGATACAACTTTGTGATGTGACTGCAAAATAGGCACGAGTACCTGCCGTATGCGGACATTTCATTCGATTCGTTACATGTTTCGAAACCCACATCCGGACTGCATGCCCACAGGGTTTTGATATTTCTGATGTGATGAAACCAGATGCTGTGATTGCAAAGTAAGCGTCACGCGGCCTGTTCATTCATGTCGTTACATGTGTTGAAACCCACATCCGGACTGCGTGCCCACAGGGTTTCGATATTTCTGATGTGATGAAACGAAGTGATGTGATTGCAAAATAAGCAGGAATACCTGCATTGATTTCGTTACATGTTTTGAAACCCACATCCGAACGGCGGGCCCATGGGGTTTCGTGACTAAACGCGGGTGATGCGACTAAACGCGGATCGGCGTCTGACACGGGGAATGCTGTGACCAAACGTGCCCCGATGCGACTTAACCGCACCCCTTGTAATTACCAAATGTTCCCGAACCCTTATAGGCCCTATACCCATCCAGTGCCGCGTGTCGGATTTCAACATCCGCAGCCTCCCGAGGCCCGGAGACCAGCAGCTGTCCTTTGATCCAGCAGGCTCTCGGCTCTCTCGATGTATTTCCTCTGTGGCCTATGACCCCAGAACGTGTCGAGGTCTGGGATCAGGGGGGTTGGCCTCGTTGCCAAGGGTTGAATTTGTGGATGCTTTTCGGTTTGGCGTTTGTGCAGTGCGGACAGGGTCCAGGACACCATCCCTGTGAAAACACGGGCGGCATACACTGGTACTGGTACATACAAAAGTAAATATATGTACAGATAGTTATATGTGTATATATATATATATATATATTGATGTTATATACAGCTGTATATACCGTAATATATCAGTATACATATCTATTCTATCTTATAAAATTGTACATTTAAATATTATATATGCCATATATATATATATGTGAGAAGGGCCTTTGGGGTCTATTTGGCCACACCCCCATTAATTAATTTAATTCATTTAATTCCGCGGCCTTATCCCCGAATTAAATGAATTAAATGAATTAA